AGTTCTTATAGCAAAAAACACGTGCTGTAATTTCATAGACACGTTTATTTACATGTCAGTCAAAAGCTAATTGAACCAGTATAGTTTTTGATTACTTACCTCAGTCCCATAAGTTTTGAACAACTTGTTTTTATTAAACTAGCTTAAAAGCCAACCTATCAAGTAGCATTTAAACTAGCTCATATGGAGGGCTCTTGTTTGGGCCTTCATCACAATAGGTAGGGAGGAGTAGAATTCAAAATTGATCTCTGCATTTAAGTACTGCATTAATAGTTAACCTTACCTTTTAGAATTTCCATGATAATTCTTCTGCTGCCACTTAATTTAAATGTATGTCTTTACTTTCCATACAAACAATTATTTTTATGTCATGGTTGATTTTGGCTGGATTTCACAATAAATTTTGTTTATTCCCAAATTTATTTCTAAGTTATAAAAATTGTTATCATACAAAAAATTTGTTGCAAAAAATCATGTAAAATAATTGCCGAAAACAGTCGCAGTCATGAAAACTTGAGAATCCAAAATTTCAGGTCCAGATTTGGCCTGGAATATTTTTAATTTGCTCACGAAGTCAGCCTGATTCCAAAATGGTGTGATACGTTGAGCTATGGCTTCTAGGAGTAAAGTTGAAAAATTGTGACACACTGACATTCACATTTATTATATAGATGCGTAGAAGTGCTTGGGAAGTTCAGACACTTCATTTTATTTGTACAGATTATTAAAATGACAAAGAAAAATAACTACATATTAATTTACCATAAAAAGTTGGTTAGCTCCCTTATCACAATTCCCTTATTTTTGACCTTTCACGACTTCCTGACAGAGCTGTATTTAGACCTTAAGAGGCCCCTGGACTAATAGAATTTGGGGACCGATTCATCAGGTATGTTCAATCCACATATCTATTACAAAAAAAAGAAGATATATTTTTAGATGATGCTGGTTTGTTGTAAAACATGAAGCACTTCAACTAAAGAGAAGCCCAAATACTCTAAATTGTTTCATATTAGTTCAAAGGAGCCCTGTTAAATTTAAAAATAAACAAATCTCCCTTGTTCTTATATTTTTTATTAGTTCTTAGTTTTATTGGGGGTCCAAGGTTAGAGGGCCCTTGGGTGACTCTATGTGCTTGAGGCCCCTGGGCTGTAACACATACTAGCCCATATGTAAATCCAGCACTGCCTTGAAGGTTGACTTAGGCCAACTTTACATCGCCTATCTGCAGACCAAATTTGCTTGGAATCCATCCAGTAGTTTCTGCATTTATAGAAAATTTCATTTTATTTATATAGACAATAATGGGAATATGCTGGTGATATAGACATACCAAACCATCTGATTAGTAGTTCCCAAACTCTGGGCCACATTTTTCAAATTAAAATTTGCTTAAGCCTCACCAAAGGGAAGTCTCAAAGAAAAGGCGCATGCAGCTTTTTTTTAATAAAATGTATCTTATTTTTAGGGAAAGATAGGTGTTGGAACGATTTTAACATAGTTTTTTCTTTTTTAATGTCCATGTCTCTTCAGGTAGCCATGATTTTCTATAATGTTTTTTTTTTTTTGTTATTTGTGTATTGTATACATTGTTTGGAAATACAGTGAAATTGCTTTCCTGTTGCATTCTCCACAGTTTGGAATTCAGTTATTTTTATTTGTAAATTGGTATCCAACCAATTCTAGATAGCCCAGTCTACCCTGCTATTTCATCCATTGCTGAAGGAAGAAGAAATGAATTCATGTCTTTTGCAAGGGCATTTGTGCAAAAGCGAATGCAATAGACTAACCGAGAATTTTGAACATGGATGGCTGATTCCACTTTCCATGTCAATACCCATTATACTTCCTGCCCTTAGCATAAATAATGATTCAATAATAGTGAAAAAAGCTTTAAATGATTTTGGTTGCTATATTTCCTTTGGTGCTAGTGGTTTGAGTTTAAAAGCCAGGATTCAAAATGCTGATTTTCAGGGAAGGAAGGAAGGTAGGCTCTACCCCCTTGTAAGAGTATTGCAACACAATCTCCACACCTTCATTTGACCTTGTGCCAGACAAAATTACACTTAATAATTTAAAAAATATATAAACTGTTTTCTTGGTGGCTGAGATAGTTGTATATTCTTTACTAATGCTAGCAGTTAGCATTTCAGTTGAGATAGAAAGCTAGGAGTTTGAATGCTAATTTTCAAGGATGGCAAGATTTACTTTTAGAAAAGTTGACACGAAATAATCTTTCTGTCATGTCTCCTTAGGTCATGCAATGGTAAATTTGGCATATCATCATTATTGACGATTACAAGTCCATTGCTGGACAAAAGCTTTTCCTAAGTCCTTCCATGATGACAATGACTAACTCTTCTCATCCATATTTTCTCAACAATCTCCTCTATCTCTTCAACGTCAGTCATATGCTATATGTGATACACATTTAGGCAATCATGTATCTTATGATACAAGACTGACGAGGAAAATTTTTTTTCCACAGTAGGTTGCCATTTCTTTCTGCAGTAGACCAGTTGCCATCCCAGGTTATAGAACCCAGTCTGTCCTGCTATTTACCCATAGCTGGAGGGAGAAGAAGAGGATTAATACCTTCCCCAAGGGTATTAGCACATAAGTGAATGTAATGGATTCAACTGGGATTTGAACTCAGCTTTCCGATTCCTCAATTCGAGCTGCTATGGGAATTCATACTCTAGCTTCCATCTTCAAAGTCCATTCAAGGACATCAAGAGAATGGTGAATAAGTTTAAAAAAGAGGGAAGAGTAGAGAGGAAAACTGAATCAGGAGGTCACAAGAAGAAGAGGTATCATTACTTATATAGCTAAAGAGATCAATTAGAAAAGATCCAACTCAATTCATAAGACGTTTGGCACATGAGAGAGGATTTCAGCAATGACAGTCCAAAGAGCAGTGAAAAAAGACTTTGAAATGATATTGTACGTAAAATGTGTTTGGCACCTTGCTACTCCAGGACAGAAAGTTACATGGTTAGAAAGGGTGAAGATCATCTTGAAAAAGTTTGAAAATGATCCTGGAATAATTTATATATTTGAACATTATTTCAATACTTCATGAGCTTCTGATCCTTAGCTATGATTAATTAATGAGGAACATGTCATTTTCGTTTCATCATGATTCTTCTGTTAAGCTTGGAGAGTAATTATACTTTCTTCTTGTTCAAAGTAGAGTCCAATAGCATTATAAAAACTTTGGAGAATTCCAGTAAGATATCTTTAATCATTTCTAAGATACAATGATTCAGAGCTTAATCTAATAATTTGACAATTTTGGCGTTACAGCTGGTATATTTATATTTATCATGTATGCAAGAATTTAATTTGGGTTACTATATATATATATATATATATAACATCAATTGATAATTGGTAGGGATAATTCCAAGGAGGATATTAATCCAAAGAGAGCTCAATGTAAGAACAGAGCAATATAATAATTACAGAATCCTTAAAAATAAACAAATGGATTTTTAAGGATTCTGTATTCATTATTAATATGAGATATATATATATATATATATATTTGTATAATTAGGCAGCAATCCTTCCTTTATGCATGTTTCGTTAAAAACGACAGACAAGGTACTACAGTTGAGCTTTTTATTTAATTTTTCTTGTGTTCTGACAAGAGCTTTCTTTTCTGGACAAAGAGTGTGTAAGAACTGTCTGAATGTTCTGTTTTTCTAATAATAAAAAAGAAAAAGCCAACTCTTAACAAAATCAATTATGAACAAAGCCACAATGTGCTAACTGTATTCGGAAACTAAAACATCACTACCACACACTGAACATACATAGAACACACACTCTACTTGATAATGAATATCCATCATTGAACCATCCTTGATAATGGCTAAAAGTATAGCCAAAAGCGCTCGGAAAAACAGAACATTCGGACAGTTCTTATACACTCTTTGTCCAGAAAAGAAAGCTCTTGTCAGAACACAAGAAAATTAAATAAAAAGCTCAACTGTAGTACCTTGTCTGTTGTTTTTAACGAAATATATATATATATATATATATATATATATATATATATATATATAGTAACCTAATTAAACAGATACATATATATATATATATGTGTGTTTTTGTAATTATGAATGTATGTTAAAGGAAAAATCAAATGTTCTACTATTTTCTGGATAGCCTATATCTGTTTTGTTATCCAATTAAGTATTTCTTCATGATTTTCTGATAAAGTGTGTTTTTGATAACGAAGATTAATTTTGAAAATCACCCCCTTTCCACAGTAGATAAATTTTTCTGTATCTTCTCATTCAAGAATTCATTTTCATATTATCAAAACACAAATATTTTCTAAGCTTGGCTCAATCCAGAACAAACCAACAAAAATGATGCTTCCAGTAAGGATTGAACTCACTTCGTTTATGAATGGTTCACTTGGCTAACTTATTAACCATTTTTTTCCAAGAGGGTCAATCTTTTATCCTGATAAAGCATAATATCAGTGGCCATGAGGAGGGTGTTGCCAAAACCATTTTTAAATATACATTTTGTCAATATAAAAAATATTAAAAAAAAGAAAGACGAGATTAATAAAAAATAAAAAGAGAGCATTTCCAAATTCTTTTGGTTGTTTTGTCTCCATGAAGAACTTGTTCATCAGGCAATTTCTAAATCTCAGAGAATTGATTAAATAAAGGATAAGTAATTGTTTGAATATTAGCAACAAACTGAATTAATTAGGTAGCATGTTTTTCATTAACTATTAATTTTGTTGCATCCCTGCAAGAAAATTTAAGAAGATAATATACTTCAAGATAATCAAGTAATTTCTTATTTGTGTCTTTATAGGTGTGTGTCCTGCTGTTCTGTCAGGATTGTATCTATAAAATTGTAGTTAATACACTATAAATTCATTGTTTGCCTCTTATTTGTCTTTGCTTTTCTTTAATACTATCTTATTATTTATCTATTTACTTACCACTTATCACTTGTTTCTTGTCAATTAGTTTTTATCTATCTATGTATCTATCTGTATTTCTTTCTCTTTATCTGTCTATTTGTCTATCTATTAATCTCAATCCATTTGCATGCATGCATGTATGTATGTATATCTATCTATCTATCTATCTATCTATCTATCAACCTTAGTCTATTACTACTGTTTGTCAGTCTCAGTCCATTTGTCTATGTCTCTGAGTATCTGTCTACCAGTCTCTGTTCATTTCTATGCATGTATCTATCTATCTAAATTCATTTGTGTGTGTGTCTCTCTCTCTCTGTTTATTTGTCTATCAGTTTTAATCCATTTGTATGTATCTATTTATATCTCCATATTTACTTATCTGTCTGTTTATTTATCTATCAATCTATGTCCATTTGTATATATATATATATATATATGTATGTATGTGTGTATCTCAATCTATTTCTATCTCTATATTTACCTATCTGTCTGTCTATCAATTCATTTCTATTTGTCTATTAATGTCCATCAATTTGTCTCTCCCTCTCTATCAATCTCAGTTTATTTGTGAGCATCTCTCTCTTTCTGACTATCAATCTAAGTCCATTTCTTTTTAACTAAGTCAATTTGCATCTCTCTCTCTCTCTCTCAATTTCAATCTTTCTTTCTAAGTCTTATTATATTATTTGTTTCTCTCTATCATTCACTCTACTATACTACGGATCTGTTTAGAGATATTATGTTTTTCAAATATTTTCAGTTATACATTTTTTCTTTGTTTGTTTCTCTCAAACCTACAATCTATCTATTTCAGTTTGCTTATATATATATTGTATATATCTCTATCAAAGTCTGGATTGATCCATCACAACATTGATGTCTATTTATCTATCTATCTATCTAAGCTTGGATCTTTAGTTATCTATCCAAAACAACCTGGATCTCTATATATCTATCTTTCTATATATCTATCCATCTATCTTCAACTATCTTTCTATTTATATTTTTCTATTATCTCAGTCTTCAGTATCTACATTTCTTCTTCAGTCTGTCCATTCATATCTATCACTCACTCAAAGATAGCCCATATCATTTTAGAAAAAGCTATCATTTTTTAAAAAAGAAAATGTTTTCACTCATTGTATATTTCTGTTCATATTATTTTTTTATTTCCTCATTCATAGTTTTCTTTTTTTCTTAGATTTTATAAACTTTTATCAAATTTTTTTGTGCTTTCCATTTTTTCAAATGTTTTTTAGGTTTTTGTTGATAGTTCACTTGTGATATTTTCTATCTAACTTTTCTTCAATCACAAGCCGGTGCCCTCAAAAATTTGTTGCCTGATTAAGAACCAGTGAAGTGATTTACGCTACTCTTCAAAAGTGAAGATTTAAGGGTACAAGGTTGTAAGATCATACCTCTTACTACCTCTACTGACAATGCCTTGAAATCTCAATACCAACCACCCCCCTACCAGCACTACATTGACATATGGATGTCTCTTGGTTCTTCTGAGAAGAATAATCTCTTCAGAATAAAAGTAAAAAAAAAAAAAAATGAAAATGCTTTCTTGTGCCTGTGTGGACCTCTTCAGGCCTATTGTGGAATAATTATTTGAGATGGTGCAAAGGGGCAAAATTCTAGTGACTCCAGTCTTGTTGACCTGGATGTAGTCTGTCACATTTAATAACACTAGTTTGGTGTTGTCTCCCCATTTTTCTTTCTTTTTTTTTCATTTACTTTTTTTTTTCATTCTAATTTATTTTATTTCCATTTTATTTATTTATTTCCAACTTTTCTTTTTCTTTCTCTCTAATCCATTTCGTGCAGTGTACAAGTGATTAGGACAATGAAATACAAGGCAATATGGCGCCAATAAATAGACACAATAGAATCTCGCATAATCTGATGGCTCATTTCATTATTCAATTTGTCCCATCTTATTTTTCTGTCTTAGTATGTCCAACAAACCTAGATATTCATTTATTTATGGATACTCTTTAGAAATTATCTTTTAAAAATGATATCTGTCCAGTTAAGTCTATCAGAAAGTTATAGGAAAATTATTATAAATTTTACAAGAATCTGAAATTTTTCTCATGCTGAAAAGTAACTTTGATAGTCTGAGCATCTTGATAAAATGGTATGACCAAAGTCTAAGATTAAATCTATAAATTCAACAGTGAGTTTAGAATCTACATTCAGTTTATGAAGGGTGCTTCAGTATGTTTGCACTGTGATATTCTTTGAATTTTGATCTGAAATTTTCACTGTATAATGTTCAATCAACCAGGGGTAGGGGGAATCCCCAGGAGGAAATTTCAGGATTTTATGTGGGGATCTTTTACTTCTTCTTGTTTTTTTTTTATTTACAGAATTGGAGCCCATCATGAGTGTTATAAAAAAAAAACTCAATGTATATGCAATAATATGGAAAAGAGTTTCAATAATATATTTATATAATTTGGAATGTAATCTTGGAAAAGGGGTGAATGACATTCTGATTTATAGTGAAAAGGGTGAATTAAGCAAAAAAATGTTGAGAACCAGTCTACAGAATGTGTGTAAGTAACCTTATTGTTTGGAATATGAGGAACATTTGCAGAGGAGTCAGTTTGATTATCAATCATTTTAAAAGATTGTACTGAAAATAATATGAAACTAATATTTGTATATTGAATTTTG